CAAGAAATAGCAGATGAATTCATAGGAATTGAAAAACAATAAGGCTCAATATATACAAGTTATAAAGGACTTATTCAGCATCATCAATAATAAAAATAGTTGAATTGAACACAAGGAGGTATGAAGTACCTCCTTGAATTGTTAGGTGTTTATTTGGAGATGTGTTTATGCCAGCTGATTTTGCAGGAAGGTAAGTTGTTTAAAGTTATAATTTTCAGTGGTAAACATATTCATGGCTTTATGGGAGATATTTATAATCCTCTAAGATCCAACATAAATGTCGAACATTACTTTAGACAATCTGCTTCTTTTTGCATATGCTTTTTAGGATTTAAAAAGTACAACTGTAGTTCATCAAAACATACCCCAAGGCACAATACTATTTTACTTGGTCATTAACAGTTTAGCATAATTGCTTAGTATAATCCAAAGAAAATATGAGTAGTGACATTAGGGGCTCTCCAATTTGTCAGGCAATTGTTCCATAATTTTTGGCACAAAGATAATTCATATGTTGAAAAAGCAATTAATCATTGATGTTAGCTAGTAAATTATGATTTTAACTGTTTCCTCACAAATCTAACCCATAATGACAGAGTTCCTGATTTTATTTTTGTAATATTCTGACTTCTGAGACCAAAAGTTTAAAATATGCCAATTTGATCACAGTAGACCTGAATTATATACTCATACATATATAAACACATATACATAAATATATATATAGACATGTGTGTTTTCTAAATAAGCTTATAACTCTGCTTACAAAGATTGGTGGTATTCATGCCACTAATACTTGGATAGATAAAAGATCTAGAAACCTTTAAAAAAAGAGACTGATTTCCTCAATTCTTGAAGTTCTTTCCTCAGACTTGAAGTCTTTAAACTAGTAGTTTTGCCCCAAAAATGTAAATTTTTTATTTTCAGTTGGAACTTATAGTGACACAGACACATCATTTAATAACAGGATAGCATATTTAACCCATCATAATTTGAACAAAATCATCTTCTATTATTTTATAAAGATAAGCAAAAAGTAAAAGTAGTATATTTTCCTGTCTTCTACTGCCCCACACATATTTCACTAATATATGTATCTTAGGTCATTATTAAAACAATCCAGAAATATGGAAAGAAAACTTGGAAACTTAACCATCTGTGTTGCTGATTCAGCTACAAGTGGATACAGTGCAGACTTAGTAATATAAATGAAGTCTTCTCTGCATGCCTGACGTATGCATCTGTACCTCATCACTCATGAAACAGTTCACTCTGAACCTCTGCAATGTGTAGCACTCCAATCTCCAAACAACTTCTCTAATTCATGGAAAAGTTACTTGTACTCTGATTCATTTGTGTTTATTTTTATGTGCTTGTACTATTATGCAAGGCAGTGATTTTTCAAAGTTCTGAATACCAGGTAGTCATGCTAATTTGTGCCAACAATCCTCAGACTTGATCTCTCAAAAAAAACAAATGGTTTGCTTTTAGAGATTATTTTCCAACTTTAGAAACAATGGTACACAATTGGCTTACTGGCTAGTTTGTTTTTGGAAGTAGTATTGATTTTAAAGCTAAGAACTTACTTGATATGGTATTTGTAATAAATAATTGAAGTGTACAGTATAACAAAAATAGTACTAAATGACAAAATTCACAAGTGCATATATGTATACACATATGTATGCATATAACACACATAACACATATTTGCATCTTTTGAATTGTTTGCAAGTTGGACTTTGAGATATTAAAACCCCTGTTGGGGTCTCATTGGTCACTTAACTGGTCTCAATTCATTCCACATCCACTGGCTTCTCTCCTCATCTCTGGCCTTCTACTCTTGTTCTGGGGCTCCAGTTTTATTACATGGACATTGGGATTAAATTTTTTATGATGACTAACATTTCCTGCATATTATCACTGACGCATTTGAGAAATTATCTTTGAAAAAATTGAAACTGAACAGAAAACAGACTTAGGAAAAATGGCTTTAGTTCAAAGATGTTAGATGATACTTTGCAGAAAAAGGCAAAACTTCATCTTATGATTTAGCCCATGACTCATGCCTGCAAATGGAAGCCTGACTTCCTAGAACGCTCAAAGTTATAAATTAGAGCACTCATATAAAAATAAGACCATGAAAATACATGGAAACTTAAGATATGCTTAAAAATGTCTGTAGTTTTTTTTTTTTTGTGTGTGTGTGCCTGTGTGTGTGTGTGCATGCCATTCCTTGGGCTTGGACTCAGGGCCTGAGTACTTCCCTGAGCTTTTTTTGTGCAAGGCTAGTGCCTTACCACTTGGATCGACAGCTCTACTTCAGCTTTTTGCTGCTTAATTGGAGATAAGAGTCTCACAGACTTTCCTGCACAGGCTGGCTCGAAACTGAGATCCTCATTTCTTAGCTCCCTGAGTAGCTAAGATTACAGATATGAGCCATTGGCACCTGGCTTTTACTGAGATACCTTAATTGATCAGGTTGCCAATGTAAAATTAAATGTTGATACTGTATCCATGTCTTGGAATGAAAAGTGTGTTTTCTTGGTTAATTTCAATAACTACTTAGTCTTGTATGGAAATCTTAACTATTCAGAGTCATTCTTTTAGAGAAAACCACCTTGTTAGGATGATTCAGTGTGTTGGTATAGCTGAAGTAAACATCTAAAATTTTGTTCAGTTGCTTGGAGGCAGTTTTTTTGTCTTTTCTTTTTTGGTACTGGGGATCAAACCCAGGACGTTGCACTTGCTAGGCAAGCGCTTTGCCACTGAGCTACCTCCCAGCTCCGGAGGCAGTGTTTTTGTAGGATATAAAATATAGAGGTAAAATAGACCATGAAATTGGGGGTATCTGATTCCATGTAAAGGTATTGTGAAAAAAAAAAAACCAAACCCAAAATGTTAACATAATGACTGTTAAAGTATTTGGTATTAATGTTACTTTGGTCCTAACTGGCTTTTTCATCTTAACCAGCCTCATTACTAAAGCTACCAGAAACATTTTAGTCTTTTTCCTGCTTTTTCTGGAGCATGTAGTCACTGGTAAAAATCCTTAAAGCTCTTTCACTCTTCTGCTCCTTCAGTACCTTCTTTCTCTGTACAATCTAAAAAAGTTGATGTTTCCACAGATAAATCTTGAGCCCTCTCCATGGTGGTTTTTACCCCTGAGCTCATCTAGCCTTTGTTGCTAAATCTCAAGTGCTCTTAGAAAAATAATTTAGTCAGGCACCAGAGGCTCGTGCCTGTAATCCTAGCTACTTGGGAAGCTGAGAATGGGAGCATGGAGGTATAAGGCCAAAACTCAGTACTAAAACAATCCACCCATAGCTGAGTGTGGTGACACACACCTGTAATCGCAACTTCTCCAGAGAAAGATGGAGATTGGACTGCGTTTGAGACCAGTTTGGGCATAAAAGTTAGCTGGCTCCATCTCAACAAATGGGCCTGGTGTGGTGGTTCACATCTATAAACTCAGGTATAGGGAGGGATAAGTGAGATGACAGCTGTCCAGGGTGGCCCTGGGCAAAAAAACAAGAGCCCAAAAGTGTTAAGAATCTATCTGAGCCGGGCACCAGTGGCTCATGCTGTAATCCTAGCTACTCAGGAGGCTGAGATCTGATGATGGCAGCTCAAAACCAGCCCAGGCAGGAAAGTCTGTGAGACTCTTATCTCCAGTAAACCACCAGAAAACCAGAAGTGGTGCTGTGGCTCAAGTGGTAGAGCGCTACCCTTGCGCTGAAGAGCTGAGAGACAGCACCCAGACCCAGAGTTCAAGCCCCATGACAGAAAGAGAAATGAAAAGAAAAAAAAAATCTGTCTGAAAAGTAACAGGCAAATATGGCTGAGGATGTGGCTCATCTGGTAGAGCACCTGCCTCGTAAGCGTGAGGCCAAATTCAAATTCCAGTACTGCCAAAACAACAAATCCTGTACATTTATCCTCTGTACACAACGCCTAACTCTTCAATGCTGTTAGAATCAGTGCCAAAGGTCCATATAGAAACTATTTTGGTATTACTTTTTTTTTTTTTTTCCAGTCCTGGGACTTGAACTTGGGTGCTGTCCCTGAGCCTCTTTGTGCTCAAGGCTAGAGATGTACTACTTGAGCCACGGCATCACTGCTGGCTTTTTCTGAGTAGTTTGTTGGAGATAAGAGTCTCACAGACATTCCTGTTTGGACTGGCTTTGAATTGCAATCCTCAGATCTCAATCCTCCTGAGAATTACAGGATTATAGGCACAAGCCACTGGTGCCTGGCTTCAAACTACCTTTTAATTTATCTATAAACATCCTTTCCTACGGGATAATCTCAGCTCTAACTGAATCATTGCCTTGCTTTCTGCCTTCACACTGTTACACTCCCTGCCTGTAATAGTAGCCTCCCTATTATCCTTTATTTGGCTAGACATCCATTCTTTCAAGTTTCACCTTAATGGCCAGGATATTTCCTTCAGGAAGCCTACCTAACACACACTTCTTTGAAATAAACATTTCTCCTGCAGTTTCCCCAGCACACATTCTCTCCCTTCATATCAGTATATTTAAGTAACTGTTAACTTAGCTTAACTTCTAGGATGAGTTCTATGAGTTCAGTGGACATTCCTACCTTGCTCAACATAACCAGAGTAACATTGGGTCTGGTTCAGCACAAAGCATTTGATGAATGTTTGAATGACCAGATAGATAACTTTGGCTTGCATCTCTAGGAAGTTATTTGATTTCCAGGAAAATAATAATTTGTGGTAGGATTTGGCTGCTGTTTCATAGGAATAAGGAAATGTTAAGTTAAACAATATTTTTACCAACTGATTGTCAAAAGTAGGCTAAAAGCTAAATTGGAAATAACCATTATATGGCAATGAAGTACTGGAATTCTCTGAATACTTTCAGCAGAAAACACTCTTTAGAAAATAGGAAAGTTCTAATAATTATTTTCTCTCAGAATGAAGAGCATTAAAGGAAAATAATGTAATCTTTACCCCCAAAAGAACTGAGGGACAATTTCATTTTATAGAGCTTTATTACAGGATGGTAATATCCAGGACACTTCAGAGCACCTTATACTGCTAATCAGATTTTTGGTAACTGTTTTTAAGAGTGTTACTTGAGTATTCTTCACATATGAACTTTCAGGCAAAAGCTCGACTCAGTGATTATTTAAGAGATGTTAATCTGATTAAATAGTTTATCCTTAATGACCTGAGACATCAATCCATGGATGGCTTCTATGGTAGTTTTACAGCTGGAAAAACAAAACAAAACATAAAACATTACAAATGGAAAATTATCAAACATTCAAGTTCCCCTCATGACTATCCATATTCTCACCTAATTTTCATTTTATTCCTATTTCTCAAACTATACCCACTTAAAATTTACCTTTTAACTTTTTATCCTTCTGCATATCTTGACTATTTTATTACTTACTACAATTTTCACAAAAGGACATTGTCAATCTTGATATAATTTAAAATAATTCTGTTATATGTCAGCAGCTTTGGGAAAAACTGTGTTTTGAAAGGAAACTAAAATAATACACTAATTATATATTAGTATTATATATTCATAGTAAGATTCCAACATTACATTAATATATGTTATTAGCTAGAATAACTGTTAACAGGTAAGGATTCTATGCTTTTTTTTTGGGTCCGGTCGTGGGGCCTGAACTCTGGGCATGGACTCTGTCCCTCAGCTCTTCTAGCGCTCTACCACTTGAGCCACAGCATCACTTCTGGCTTTTGTCTTTTTGCTTATGTGGTGCTGAGGAATGGAACCCAGGGCCTCAGGCATGCAAGGCAAGCGCTCAACCACTGAGCCAACTTCCCAGCCTGGATTCTATGCTTTTTTATCCTGAGATCATCATAAATATCTTCTAAACAATTAAAACATTACTTAGGTTAATGATGAAAATGATAAAAAAAAGCAGAAACAATGACAAAATCCTGTATATGTAGAAAACTACTGCAAAAAGGAAACTCTTCTTTTGCCCTTTTTATATTTTGTTATGTAATTCAAATATTTTTTCCACAGAAGTCTTTGTTGCATAAGAAATTGAGATGCATATATAGATAAAATTACAAATGTTAAGACAGTCACACCAAATCGTATTAAAACAAGTACCAAATGTAAAACCTGATGGCAGAGAAAGACATGACATTTATTCAGGTCTCTTGCTCTATTCCTAAAAACACACGAAGAAGGGAATCAAGTATTTCTAAGCCAAGATGACTCCTGATTTCAGGATGAACTTCCCCTTTTCTTCTCCCTTCTTTTTTTGTAGACTTGATTTTTCTTTTTTTCTTCCAGTCCTGGGGCTTGAACTCAGGGTCTGGGTGCTATCCCTGAGCCTCTTTGTGCTTAAGGCTAGCACTGTACCACTTAAGCCACAATGCCACTTCCAGCTTTTTGAGTAGTTTATTGGAGATAAGATTTTCCAAGGACTTTCCTGCCTGGGCTGGCTTCGAACCATGATCCTTAGATCTCTGCCTCCTGGGTATAGGATTATAGGCATGAGCCACCACTGTCTGGCTAAGACTTGATTTTTCTAAAGTAGATATGAATGTATCAGTTCATATAGATGTCAACATACTTTCTACTCTAGATTATCATATTAAATTCAAATTTCTGTGTACAGAAGTGTTTAGTTTTCGCAACCCTATTCAATTTATGCATTAGAATGCCACATTATTATATCCTAGGTTAACAGAGACAATGTTCAAGTTTGCACTTAACAAAATCTTTGGTGCTAAAACTCAAGATACTGAATTACTGCTGCAAGGATAGTTTCAGAAGCACAGGTTGAGAGTCCAATTATTAAAAATGTTTGAAAAATTAAAATCTGGAAAATTTTACAAATCTGAATTTAATCCTTTTGAAAATAATTAAGTTAGCATTTTGCTTAAAAAGTATCTAGTAATGGACCTTTTTTTTTCAGTCGGGGCCAGGGTGCTGTCCTGAGCTGTTTTGCTCAAAGCTACCATTCTACCACTTTGAGCCACAGTGCCACTTCTGGATTTCTGGTTGTTAATTGAAAATAAGAGTGTCACAGATTTTTTTGCCAGGCTGGCTTCCAATCATGATCCACAGATCTCAGCCTCCATAACATTACTTAGATCTTTGACTTAAGCCTTTTATGTCTCTCTAGTTGTCAAGGTTAAAAGCTGTGTATAAAAATGGAGTGAGGCAGGGCAAACAAATATAGTCATTATATTTAAGGTACATTATGTAGAAACTGGACTATGAAGCCATGTACTAGTAGCTCATGTCTGTAATCCTAGCTAATTAGGAGGATTTGAGATTTGAAGATCACAGTTCAAAGCCATGCAGGGCAAGAAAGTCTGTGAGACTCTTATCTCCAATTTAGCTACCAAAAAGCCTGAAGTGGAGCTATGGCTCAAATGGTAGAGCACTAGACTTGAGCAAAAACACTCAGAGACAGTGCCTAGGCTCTGAGTTCAAGTCTCAGGACCAACATACACACATACAAACACACACACACATCGAGGGTAGAGATGGGAGGGAGAAAAATGGGGGAGATTGAAAGAAGGCTTGCTATTGCTCAAGATGCATTGTAGGCACAACTTGACTTATGGAACTGAACCCTCTTCCTACAACTACTTAATAAAATAAAAATACAAAACAAAAATCCTAAAAATAATATAAACCAACAAAATTTATACATAACTTTTTTATATGGTGGTAGTGACTGAGGTTTGAGCTGTGTTGACAAGTTTTTAAAGGTCCTAAAAAAAGATAATATACAGGTATCATTCTAATGAAGTTATAACTAAATTGAAAAATAAGAAATTTGATTCATTCTAATTTGCTAATGTGAAGAAAAGAGAGCTGGGATAGGAATCCTACAGATTAATTCTTACCTGTCTCTTGTAGCTTTGGCAAGTTTGTCTTCTGACTTTCGGTCATGTGTTTCCAAACCCAACATGAAACTCCCTCGTCCTAGCTGGGCTTCTGATTGCTCTAGCTTTTCAGACAAATCAAATACCTGACCAGTGGTATAGTCTGCATTCTGTGGAGAAAATGGTATTCAGTGTACAACATAATACAATTAAAAAAATCACTTCCCTCCTCTTATATATATTTACATACTCAGGATTAAATCTAGGATCTTGTACTAGCTAGGCAAATCCTCTATTAATTACATCTTAAGAACTTTTTCTTTTGAGAACAGATCTTATTAGTTTCTCAGGCTGGCCTTGAATTTTGGATCTTTCTGCCTTAGCATGTAACTTGGTTTACTCCGCCTATAACTGGGATTGCAGATGTACAGATATATGTGTGTATGTGTATGTATATTTTAGTTCTTTCTTTGCTTTTCATGCAGGGATTAGGGCTTGAACTCAGGGCATAGGTTTTGTCTCTGAGCTTTTGTGCTCAAGGCTAGTACTCTATACCTGAGCCACTAGTCCACTTGAAGCTTTCCAGTGATTAACTGAGGATAAAAGTTTCATGGATCTTCCTGCCCAGCTGGCTTTGAACTACAATCTTAGATCTCAGCCTCCTGAGTAGCTTGGATTATAGGGGTGAGCAAATGGCAACCAGCTCCTAAAGTATGTATTCTTATAAAAATTAATTTTAACATAGAACATTTTATTTACAAAGAATTCTACTGTAAAATATCAGTGGATAGTCAATTAAGTAAGACTTCAAATTCCAAATATAAAAATAGATTCCCAGTTCCAGCTGCTTGAGGGTAGATGTTGTCCACTTATTATTTCAAGATTAAATCTGGAATTGATTTTCTTGACTGCTTAACTGGAATATTTGCTATTACAGGAGGCTTCCCAGTACAGGTTTTGAGTTCGGCTTTTAGCCCTATTATAGATTAGCTGGTAAGTCTGGAGTAGGCCTTGTGTTTCAAAAATGGGAGAAAGTGGCAATGATTTTTTATCTTAAGGCTATGATAAAAATCACATAAAGCAATGTATAAAAAGGTCTCAGGAAAATCAGTGTCACAAATGCACCTCGAAAAGGCTGAATAATTATTAGCTAATTTTGTTATTGTTTCCTTATTAAGCTTTTAGGATTAGTAGTTATAATATAAAAAAAATAAGTTTTCTAGGGCTGTGAAGGTGTCTCAGTGGTAGAGCACTTGCCTTGCATGCCCGAGGCCCTGGGTTCGATTCCTCAGCACCACATAAACAAAAAGAAAAAAGCCGGAAGTGGTGCTGTGGCTCAAGTGGTAGAGCGCTAGCCTTGAGCTGAAGAGCTGAGGGACAGCGCCCAGGCCCAGAGTCCCCATGACCGGAAAAAAAAAATAAAATAAAATAAGTTTTCTAGTTACAAAACTTTGATTTTAGAAAATATAGAAATTGTAGAGCAATGTAAAGAAAATACACATTATTTTAGGCCTTCTGCTCCTGAAGGAGTTGCTTCTACTCCAGAGCAATCAGTAAAGAGCTTGCCCGTGGGCTACAGCTGTCATTTTGTAGTCACATAAAGCCTGAAATGAACCTGACAATGCTGAGAGAGAAAAAACTAAGACTTCATAGATTTGAATACAAACTTGTGCCTGAGGTATACTCTATTCCTAGACTTAGTAATTTACATAATACTTAATTCCCTTCCTTATTTTGGTTATTCTGTTACTTATAACAACAGTCCTGCTCAAGATAATCTGTTATCTGATACAAAACAAAGCAATACTTGTATTTTGTTCTCCATAAGTCTGTTTAAATTGTGTGTAATTCTCTTCCTCCCCTCCCCCCATCTGACAGTCTATTTGCCATTTAGGCTTAGTCTCTCTAGTATATAAAGTGGAATTGCAATCTGCTCCAGCTCAGAGATGCAGATTCCTACTCCAGACCCCCAGATCCCTAGACCTGGTATCTGTATTAAGTAAGTATAACCTTTTTGAGAAATGGGGTTTCAGATATTAAGGAGATTCTATAGCTTAGATAAAATTCAACTTTGCCAGGCAAGATGGCCCATACACTAGGGAGGATAAGGCAGGAAAACTAAGTTCAAGGCCAGCTTGAGCTACAAAGTGCTTCTGTTTCAATCCCTGTTCCCCAACTTTTTTTCAAGTGCATTCCTCCAAGAACAGTACTTACAGTAAGCAAGCTAGATGAACTCAGTGTATTCACCCAGTATTTATTCCATAAAAGTTCAAGTAATTTGCGATCCAAAGAGGATTTGAAATATGAGACTTCTAAGGCGTAGTATCTATGAAATGGAAGTACAGATTCAGGTATGTGAAAGAAAATATTTAGTGATAACACATAGAAGTTATGGCCAAATTTAAGCAAATTATTATTTTATATTCAAATAGTAATTTTCTTTTCCCCAGTCCTGGGGCTTGAACTAGGCACTGCCCCTGAGCTTTTTTTTTTTTTGCTCAAGGCCAGCACTCTATCATTTGAGCCATAGCACATTTCTGGCCTTTTCTGTTTATGTGGTACTGAGGAATCAAACCCAAAGCTTCATGCATGCTAGGCAGCACTCTACCACTCAGCCACATTCCTAGCCCTAGTAATATTTTAGTTTTTAAACCAAGAGAACAATGGTAAGCAGGGCTTTCTTTCTTTTTTGGGTTGTGGTTTACTAATCTTCTGTTTACTAAATTTGTCTTGTATTTTTTTGTTCTTCTTTAGAGTCTAAGAAGTCCTAGAACTTATTAATAACAGAATTTCTTATTGATATATTTGTTTTTTGAGTCTGTCAATTCCAACTAATGACACATAAGCATAATGAGCTGCCTCTCTCTATAATTTTTGTAAGCTTTTTAAAAAATACTGAAAATGACACATCGACTCCCCATTTTCTTTCTAATACTCTAGTTAGGATCTACTACTGCTTTTTGGAAACGCAAATCTCAAAGTATGGCCCTCCTCCCCGCCAAAAGTCAGTACCAGGGTTTGAACTCAGGACCTTAAAGCTCTCACTTGGTTTGCTTGCTCAGCTGGTGCTTTATAACTTGAGTACAACTCTAGTTCTATATTACTCTTTCTTAGTCTCCTATGGTTTCCACACTCCCTTTGACAATTTTTGATGGCTGTCACTGTGCTAGTTTATAAATTTGTACACATATGCATGTATACATGTGTGTATAAATATGTGTATGTATAAAAAATTTAGTTTCACAATATCATTCCCATCACTCTTTCCTTTCCCTTCCTCCAGTTTTCTCTGTCCTTCTTTTACAATCATGGAAAGTTATTTAAGATAAAAGAATAAAAAAAAAACCCAGAGAAGGTTAAAAGACAAAAGATTGAATATAAATGAAAAAGGGTTATCATTCAGAACATGAGAGTTCACAGACAAACATGCTTCTACACTCAAGAGTTTTTCTCTTTCAATAGCACAAATAAGATGATTAAGCTTAATCCTTTAGGAAAGAAGTAAACCATTTTTACAGAAATATATCAGAGGTGGTTGAAAATCAGATACATTTAGAAATTCACTTTTAGAAATTCTCAAATTTTCTAAGACTTTATAAGTGAAAAGTAAGAGTAGTAGCAGTAGTACATGGCTAGTCTAAATGTTCCTTGAAGTCCGTATTATTTAGTCATTTAAGAAACCCTTCTTTTTTAAATGCCTACTCTAGGTGTCATTGCCCATTTTTTTTTTTTTTTTTTTGGTCCGGTTGTGGGGCCTGAACTCTGGGCCTGGGCACTGTCCCTTAGCTCTTCAGCTCTACCACTGGAGCTACAGCACCACTTCCGGCTTTTTTCTTTTTGCTTATGCTGAGGAATCGAACCCAGAGCCTCATGCATGCAAGGCAAGCGCTCTACCACTGAGTCACCTTCCCAGCCCCTGTCATGGTCCATTTTAAACACAAGAACACAGCCCCAAGTATTTGTGTTCTCATGAAATTCACAGTGTAAGATGTCAATAGCAAGGAAACAAATACACCAAAGGTGAAAAGAGCTAACAAGAAATAGGAAAGGGGCCGGGCGCCAGTGGCTCACGCCTGTAATCCTAGCTACTCAGGAGGCTGTGATCTGAGGATCCTGGTTCAAAGCCAGCCGGGCAGGAAAGTCTGTGAAACTCTTATCTCCAATAAACCACCAGAAAACTGGAAGTGGCGCTGTAGCTCAAGTGGTAAAGTGCTAGCATTGAGCTGAAGAGCTGAGGGACAGCACTCAAGCCCAGAGTTCAAGTCCCATGACTGACAAAAAAAAAGAAAAAAAGAAATAGGAAAGGGGAAGAATAATAGGGAAGTATATTTGAAATAGTGATCAAAGAGTATTTTCTGTTAAGGTGACCCTTAGAAAGATATTCAATGATTAAAAGACATAATAAGCCATGTGGAAATAAGGAAGAATGTTTTAGATAGGAGGAGGAGTAAATACAAAAACTGTGAGGCAGAAGTCTGCCTAGCTCCTTCAACAAATGGAAGAAGTAGTATATCTGGACTAGAGATAACCAAGGTGCTATGATAAAGAGCTGAGCTCAGAAAGGGGCCAGACCATTCAGGGTTGCATACTCTATAGCAAGTTACAGTCTTTACTCTTGGTGAGATGGGAAGTCATTTTGAGGAAGAATGTGATCTGACTTATATTTTAACGGAATCACTCTGGCTGAGAAAACATCTTTAAGAGAGTGAAGGGTATTCATAAGAAGACCAGTTAGGCAGCCAGTACTATGGTTTGTCTCCAAATGACAGTAGCTTCAATAAAGGTCATTGAGGGATGGTAAGATAAAGGTAAAGAAAACTGCCTCCACAGGGGCGTCTTCTATTTTTTTTCCTAGAAATGCTGGGGTTTGAACTTTTAGGGCCTCCATACTTGCTAGGCAAATGCGCTACTACTTGAGCCATACCCTAACCCTTTTTTTTGTTTTATTTTTTAGGGTCTTGCTTTTTGCCAGACCAGCCTGGGACCCTGATCTTCCTACTTGTGCTTCTTGGGTGGCTGCATTCCTATACCCAGCTTATTTGCTGGGATGAGAGTCTCACAAATTTTTTTGCCTTCAGGGCTGGTCCTGAAGCATACTCCTTCCAATCTCTACTTCCCAAGTGGCTGAGATTATAGGCATACATGACTATGTGTAGCCCTTAGTGGCTTTTTTTTTTATTGTAAAAATACTGTACAGAGGGGTTACAGTTACATGAACAAGGTAATGAGTACATTTCCTATCAAGCATTGTTACCTCATCCTTTGTTTTTCATCCCTTCCCTCCCACCTCCACAACTATACAACTCTCCTCCCCCCCCCACCCCGCCTAAACTGTAAAGTTTGTTTTTCAATATAGTGTCTTGTACAATCTCATTGTTACAATGGGTCAACCTATATCCTTATTTAAGCATTTTGTTTTTTCCCTTCCCCTCCCCAAATTACAGAAGTGTATATACAAGATGCAGGGCACCGACATCAATACAGTGAAAACAGAGGTTATACCATGGGGGAGAAACATACAAAGAAACAAAAAAATCAAACGTGGTACATTATAAATACGTTAGGAATGATAGTAAGAAAGAAAAAACCACTTGTGTCCCTATCTTGGGGTTCATTTCACTTAACATCATCTTATCTGGTCATATGTACATAGCTTTTGACCTTTTCTGCTTGTTCCAGGGCCATCTACAAATTCAATGTGATATCTATCAAATTCAAACCTCATTCTTCAATGAAATAGAAGAAACAATCCAAAACTTCATATGGAACAATAAAAGACCCTGAATAGCAAAAACGATCCTTAACAGAAAAAATAGTGCTGGAGCAATATCAATACCAAATTTCAAACTCTACTACAAAGCCATAGAATCAAAACAGTTTTGTACTGACACAAGAACAGACCTCAGGACCAATGGAATAGAATTGAAAGCCCAGAAATGAACCCACAGACCTATAGCCATCTAATCTTTGATAAGGGAGCTAAAAAAAAATAGAATGGGAGAAAGACAGCCTCTTCAGTAAATGGTGCTGGCAAAATTGGTTAAATACCTGTAGAAAACTAAAAGTTAGATCCTTATATATCAACCTGTGCCAGAATCAACTCCAAATGGATCAAAGACCTCAAAGTGAAAGCAGACACCCTGAAAACATTACAGGAAGGAATAGGAGAAATCCTAGGTCTCCTTGGCACAGGCTGAAATTTTCTCAATAGAGACCCAGAAACACAAGAAATCAAAGAAGGGTTGGACAAATGGGATTGCATGAAGCTGCAGAGCTTCTGCATGGCAAGGACATAGCTAGCAAGATCAATAGAAAGCCCACGGACTGGGACAAGGGTCTCATATCTAAAATATACTTAGAACTCAAAAAATTAAATCCCCCAACAACAAATCCTCAAAGAAACAAGTGCCTGATAAATAAGTGGACTAAAGACTTAAACAGAAACTTTTCTGAAGAGGAAATAAAAATGGCCAATAGACATATGAAGAAATGCTCAACTTCTCTAGCCATAAAAGAAATGCAAATCAAAACAACATTGAGATACCACCTCACCCCAGTTAGAATGACTATGAAGAAATCTAATAACAGATGCTGGAGGGGATGTGGCCAGAAGGGAACCCTACTGCATTGTTGGTGGGAGTGTAAACTTGTGCAACCACTTTGGAAAGTAGTATGGAGGTTCCTCAAAAGACTGCATATAGAGCTTCCTATGACCCAGCAATCCCACTTTTGGGCATTTACCCAAACTATCACAAACAAGACCATACTAAAGCTACCAGCACAACTATGTTTATTGCAGCATCATTTACCATAGCTAAGATACAGAACCAACCCAGATGCTCCTCAGTAGATGAATGGATCAAGAAAATGTGGTATATACATGTATATACATATACATATATATATGTATGTATATATATATATATATATACACATATGCATATACATCCCCCCACACACACAAATGGAATTCTATGCCTCCATCAGAAAGAATGAGATCGCTTCATTTGTTAGGAATTGGGAAGACTTGGAAAAAATTATAATAAGTAAAGTAAGCCAGGCCCAAAGAACCATAGGTTCTATGGTTTCCCTTATTTGTTCTTACTGGCTTTTTTAATGTTAAAAAATTCAGATATAATTCCTATGCCATAAACTTCATCATCATATAAAAAAAAGTATGTGTAATTCAGTGATTTTTTTCATGTCTTTTTTGGCATTTGTAGGGAAAATGTATATGAAGAGTCGTTGCTAAATGGAAATTGTTTACGTTACTGGCTGCAAACTTAGCTGGTCTCTGAACAGACCTTTCATTTATTAGTTTCATTATGTGCCAAGTTTATCATGCTAGATTGAAAAGACCTTTCAGTTATTAGTTTCACTATGTGCCAAGTATATCATTCTAAATTGAATGTAACTATTTTGAATATAATCATATTTGAATATTATCCTTATGTTTTATTATTTCAAAAGGTACTTGCATTATGAATTGCAATTTGTCTGATTCTATTTCTGATTTGTAAAATAAAGAGCGTGGACAGGATGATCTCTAAGGTGTCTTAGTATCTTAGTATCAGATACATAATTTTTACTTTTTGAAGAACTGGGGATTGAAACCATGCCTTTGGGGATGCTAGGCAGGTGATCTTCCACTGAACTATCCTGAGCCCAGATATACTGTTGAATTACTTACTGTTTGCAGTGTACACCAAAGTCTTCTATTTTATTAAGTGGGATAGTCTGGTATTCAGAAGGTCCTTCATCAGGAGGTTTGTAACCCTAAGCAAAAACAAAGAAAACAGAAGATTAAAAGCAACAAGAAAAACACAAATTTGTCTATGTAGCTTTTTATTTATGAGAACATTAATTTTGGGGAGCCAAATACTCAATTTAATCTTCTAATAAAAATGTATGCTAATTTCTAGCCTTTGCTAACTCCATTTGGTAGTCCTAAGCTGGATTTAGCTTATGGATTCATTTTTCTTGTCCTTAATAGATATGGTGTGTGTGTGTGAGATTCATTTTTCTTGTCCTTAATAGATATGGTGTGTGTGTGTATGTTGATCCTGGGGATTGAACTCAGGGTCTGGATGCTGTCTGTCCTTGAGAGAGGGTGTGTGTGTGTTGATCCTGGGGATTGAACTAAGGGTCTGGATGCTGTCTGTCCTTGAGCTTTTTTTGCCCAAGACTAGCACTCTGCTACTTGAGCCACAGCTCCACTTCTGTTTTTTTGGTAGTTTATTGCAGGTAAGAGTCTCATGGACTTTTCTGTATATGTTGGCTCCAAATCATGACCTTCAAATCCCAGTCTCCTGAGAAGCTAGGATTATAGACAGGAGCCACTTGTGCCTGGCAGGAGATATATTTATGTGCATGCTTCTATTGCAGACCACAGTCTCCCTCCAGGGAAGGAAACTGACCTATTTAGCTTTTTGTCTCTCTAGTACTTGTCAGAATGCATACATATTTATTATATTTGTAAATACTTACTATATTAACAGAGACTGCTTTTCTAGTAAGCTTAAAAATTTATTACAAGCCAGGTGCTGGTGGCTCATGACTATAATACTAGCTACTCAGGAGGCTGACACCCAAAGATCGTGGTCCAGGAAAAGTCCATGAAACTCTTATCTCCAGCAAAAAAGCCAGATGTGGACTGTAGCTCAAGTTGTAGCATGCTCAGGGATAGCACATAGGCTCTGAGTTCATGCCCCAGGACCAGCACCAAAATATACAAAAAAGTAGGTGCCCCTCTTCCCCCCAGCCAAAACCCATAAATAATACTACTTTTTGCTATGGATAGTTTATGATAGACAATTATTTTGTAAATAATCAATTTAGGCTAGAAAGAGGTATTAATTGGGCTGAAGTTGCTTAGTTATAAAATACTTCTTTGGGGGGAATAGGAGATATATTAGGATTAAATCCAAGGATTTGTGCTTGCTAGGCTAAGTATTCTCCCACCTGAGATATACCTCCTCAATCCTGTGGTAGGGAACTTGCCTAGCATAAATGAAGCCCTGAGCTGGCACACTCACATGCACACACATTGCACATGCATGTGCGTGCATACACACTCATAGAAAAGTCAAACATTATTCACAGCATTAACAGCATTAACTTAAAAAAAAAAGTTAGTCAAATATTGGAGGTAACAAACAAAATCAGCCAGGCACCAGTGGCTCATGTTTGTAATCCTAGCTACTAAGGAGGCTAAGATCTCAATTTGAAGCCAGCCTGGGCAGGAAAGTCTGTGAGAGTTTTAACTCCAATTAACTACCAAAAAAAGCTGGAAATGGAGATGTGGCTCCAGTGGTAGAGCACTAGCCTTGCACAGAAAAACTCAGGAACAACACTCAGGCCCTGAGTTCAAGCCCCAGGACCAGTTAAAAAAAAAATTGTAGACCTGTAATTACCTTTGGGTATGTCCTAAAGGCTCCAAGATTCACTTTTCCTGCAGAAATTGTTCTCGTTGGATCAATCTATAAGAAATATACAAATGTCAATGTAAATCATTATATTTCTCCATTTATTCAAATATTACAGAACTAAAAATGTATATGTAGTATGTAATATAATATGTAATACATATTCTAAATAGTATATATTGTTTTTTTTTTTTTTTTCTTTTGGTCCGGTCGTGGGGCCTGAACTCTGGGCCTGGGAGCTGTCCCTCAGCTCTTCAGCTCAAGGCTAGCACTCTACCACTTGAGCCACAGCGCCACTTCCGGCTTTTTTCTTTTTTCTTATGTGGTGCTGAAGAATCGAACCCAGGGCCTCAGGCATGCAAGGCAAGCGCTCTACCACTGAGCCACCTTCCCAGTCCTCTAAATAGTATATATTTTCTTAGCATTACATATTATATACATAACAAATATGAAAAAAATACCCCCCAATATCACATAAAAATTCAATGACATGGGTAATAAATGAATGAAATAGGTACAGCAGTAGCTCACGGTTAAAAATTAAACAACTATTTTATCAGCTAAAAACACTATTTAAGCTGTAATTCTAGCACTACTCCTGAGGTTGTTTTAGGCTACATATCAAGTTTGAGGCCAGCCTGGGCTACACAGTAAGGTTTGTCTCAAAGTCAATAAATACTTCAATAAACAAAAGATTAAATTTTAAAATTTGCTCGTTTCTTTTAAGACATTTTTCTTTTCTGTTTTTTTTTTGGGGGGTCTGGTCGTGTGGCCTGAACTCTGGGCCTGGGCGCTGTCCCTCAGCTCTTCAGCTCAAGGCCTAGCGCTCTACCACTTGAGCCGCGCCACTTCCGGCTTTTTTCTTTTTGCTTATGTGGTGCTGAGGAATCGAACCCAGGGCCTCAGGCATGCAAGGCAAGCGCTCTACCACCGAGCCACTTTCCCAGCCCGGACATTTTTCTTTTTCTATTAAAAGATGAACATTTTCTACTTTTCTCCTAGAAACTTGGATAGCATTTAAAACACTGTGGGTATAGTAAGAGTGGCTCTGGCAATTCCTGCTTACTCAATTTAGTCAATACTGACTGAATACCTAAAATAAGCTGGGTGCTTGGTGGTTATATTTACCCTCATTTTATAGAGATGGAGGGGGATGGAGGATGAGATGAGAGGAAGTTAAATAACTTTTCCAAAGCCTCAGATTCTGAGTTAAAAATTCAGATTCAAACCTAGGCAGACTGACACTAGTGCTTTACTCTTTTCTTTATCATACTGTTTTGATTTCTCAGTATACTTGCTTTAGAAAATCTTCATGAAGAACTTAATTAAAATAGGTTTAAAAGTACTTACCACCACTGCAACAAATGGTTCCTGGAACTGCTGGTTAAGCATCTGTGTACTAACATCAATCCCAGAAAGCCAGCAGCCATAGCCAGGATGGCTATGATACCAGCCAATTGCATTTTCAAGGCGACCAACCTAAAAAAAGAAAAGGACAAAAAGCTTGAAATTCCTCTTAATTGCAGAGTTGTCATTTGTGTTTTATATAATATTGATAAAATTACACTGTGAAGGATTGTTCATAACATTAAAAAAAGGATTTTCTCCAGGTACTGGTGGCTTATTCCTGTAGTCCTAGCTACTACTTGTAGGCTGAGATCTAAGGATCAGGAAGCTATCCTGAGTAGGAAAGTCCATGAGACTCTCATCTCCAATTAAACACCAAAAAGCCAGAAGTAGAACTGTAATTCAAGTGGTAGAGTGCAAAACTTGAGCATAGAAGCTCAGGGACAAAATGAAGGCTCTGAGTTTAAACCCCAGGACTGGTCCAAAAAAGATTTTCTGAATAGAAATACATATATAAAGTACAAAATAAACAAGCTACAATTACAACAGGGTAATCAGTCTCTTCCATATCTTTCCTCTACCTGGTTTCTCAGTCCAGATGCTATTCCTATAGCCAGGAGCTTACATATACTTATAGAGATACTGTTTGCATATGAATATATATAGATATATATATATATATTCATATATAATAACATACCACGTGGTGTTTTACTGTTTTTTCACTCAGTAAACAATTCTAGAGTTTGTATCATATAAGTAAATACATGGCTATTTTTGGAAAGCCTGTGGAAGTGGTCCATTAATGCATACACCATAACTTCACTGGTTTTATACTCATGAATGTTTAAGTAGTTCCCAGCCTTTTTATTTCAGTGTATGTAATTTAATTTTCTCAGTACTGGGGATAATGAACTCAGGTCCTCCCACATCCTAAATTGATTTTTAAACATACTTCTGATAATGGATGTTAAGAAACTTTTAAAAAAAACAACCTGCCAAATTGATGCTATATATCTTATCAGGCTTTTAATCTCATATATCTTTTACATAGAAATTGTTTAATTTTAAACATAAAATTTAATGTGCAAAGGATGGTTTTAAGTTCAGGAACAAAAGTCATCTTGAAGCTCTAACACAGTTATTAACCATTTCAATTATCTTTAACAGTTGCACATGAGACTTGCCATTTAACAAAGCAGTTTATAAATACAATGATCAGTGTTACTCCTTTCATCATTCTCAGTAAGCTTCTAAGAAAGAATCTTTTTACCTGCTTGGCATTTTCTATGTAGGCAGCCATGTACTCGTAAGCAGCAGCCTGAGCATTTACTCGGGTTTCAGTGCCCTCTACAGGCAAAGCAAAACTGTCCATAATGATCATGGTTTCACCATCTACCTTTCCAAGCATCAAACCCATCACTTCCAAGTTGCCTCCTGATCTGGCATGCATCACCATTTTCAGTAGAGCCAATGCTGAGATTTTGCAGTACTTAAAGTAATGGTGGCTACAAAACAAAATCAGGATATGATTAAATTTCTCATATAAAGTCAATTTCAAATTTTGAAATCAGATTAGCTGGATGCCAGTGGCTCATGCCTGTAGTCCTCCCTCGCTACTCAGGAGGCTGAGATCTTAGGATCGCAGTTTGAAGCCAGTCAGAGCAAGAAAGTCCATGAGGGCCCTATCTCCAAGTAAGCACCAGAAAATGGGAAATGACCCTGTGGATCAAAGTGGTAGAGCACTTGCCTTGAAACTCAGGGAGAGTGCCCAGGTCCTAAGTTCAAGTCCGAGGACCATCTCACTCATACATACACAGACACACAGACACACACACACAGTGCTTAGCTTAGTTACTGACACATACTAAAATGCATACTAAAAAGTTAGTAAGTACTGTTATTAGCATTATTAACTTATCTGTTACAGCACCCTCAAAGGAATACTGTGTTGAAGGTTCTGGCTTCCCTCTGTGATATTCTTCAAATTAAAAAAGTGTATATGGGTATGTCAAAATGAAATGTACTTATACAATTGATGCTAAAGAAATGTAAAAACATTAAAAAGTAGGCTGAATATCCCGCACTTCTGTGACCACTATATCCATCAATGTATACAACTAAACTCTTACATAAAATTACATTTTGATACCACGGATGCATCCTAAGACAGCTAGAATCAGTATAGTTATGGGTAGAGAGGTGAGCAAACAATTTTCTAAGTATTTAACAGACTACATCAACCTGAAGTGTACAACTGCTATAGAAGTACATAGACAACCAGGCAACCTCACTAGACTGTACAGAATAGTCAGTGCCTTTGAGAAGAATTTTTAGTAACCAAGTCTAATTTCCAAGCTTTCAACCAAATTTTTTTTTTCAGATTTCAACCCAGATTCACCCCACTCCCCCAAATATCAACCACAGTCTAAAAGATATATAGTTTTGGAAGTCAAGACATGAATTTAAATCTTAGGAAAAAGAAAAATAACAAGTTATTATGGTCCCATTAGATAAATTCCAGATCATTTTTATAGTTTACTTTATAATGGCAACACCAGCTGGTAGGTCTACTTTTGTTTTACAGATACATGAAGATAGATAATGTAGCTTCTTAAGGTCAATCAACTAGTTAAGTGACAGCTGTTGAGATTTGATGTTAAATCTCTTGCTCATTCAAGGGTTCATTGTCTCACTGTGATCATGAGGTAAGCTTCTTAATGTATTTGCCTTTTTTTTTTTTGTCAGTCTCAAAGGATTGAACTCTGGGCCTGGGTGCTGTCCCTGAGCTCTTTAATTCAAGGCAAGTGCTCTACCACTTGTGCCACAGCACCACTTCCGGTTTTCTGGTTGTTAATTGGGGAAAAGAGTCTCATGGATGTTCCTGCCTGGGGTAACTTTGAACCATGATCCTCAGATCTCAGCCTCCTGGGTAGCTAGAATTACAGGCATGAGCCACTGGCTCCCTTCCTACTTCGCTCGTTTTCTTAATTGCAAAAAAAGGAAGGGAAATACCTTACTGGGTTGTCATAAAGATTAAATATGAACATTTCTAGCTCAGTTCCCACTCATATTAAGTACTCAAATACTGTGAAACTGATATTGCTAGTTTGGAACAAAGCTGGAGGCAGAGGAAGTACTGGTGACAACCCTCGTTTATCTCTCACCGAAGTGTTCTTTCCAGCTCAAGCAGTCGAGCATCAGCTTTGAGCAAAAAAAGCTTAGCGAGAAGGCTCAGTCCCTAAGTTCAAGCCCTGAACCTGCACAGGAAAACAAAGTGTCTTTTGTGTTTTTTTATTCTCCCTCTGATGAACTCTCTCTTAGTACTGAATGTTTTGAATAAAGAACCCCCTTGACTTGCCATCACTTCCAGGGACACAGGGATTTTACTAAGAGGCGAAGAATCTTAGCATTATTATTTTTATTTATTTATTGTTGTTGTTGGTCACGGGGCCTGAACTCTGGGCCTGGGCGCTGTCTCTCAGCTCTCCAGCTCAAGGCTAGCACTCTACCACTTGAGCCACAGTGCCACTTCTGGCTTTATCTGTTTATGTGGTGCTGAGGAATCGAAAGCAGGGCCTCAGGCATGCAAGGCAAGCACTCTACCACTGAGCCACCTTCCCAGCCCCTAAACAGTTTTTTTTTGTTGTTGTTTTTGGTGTTGGTCCTCAGGCTTGAACTCAGGTCCTGAGCTCAAGGTTCCTGAGCTTTTTTTTTGATCATGGGGCTTGAACTCTGGGCCTGGGCACTGTCCCTC